TCCCAAAATGGTTCTAATACTTGAACTATACTTTCTTTATTGTCGTGCTTGAAACCAGACGCTTTTTACTGATCTAAATTCCCGCTTTGCAGAAAAGTTGGAGCTTAAAATTTCACGTGCATTTGTACTTAAAATGGCACATTAGAATAGCAGTCATTGAATTTTCTAACTTTATCTTACTTTGGTCGTAGTTCGACCCTAAAATCCCATACAAAAGTGTTCTTTTATTGTTGGAACCATATATATTTTCTAAAAAATTTGGCAACTATGCGATGGGCTCTTCCAGTTTACTCAAAATAAACTAGGCAGTTTATTAATGAAAATTTTATTTGTAACCATTAATAGTAGGTAAAAGCGTCATAATCTAAAAGTAAAGTTTGTGACATCTTTGGATAAAGAACTGAGTAAATCAACCTCTTTGTTGCTCACTGCTTAGGATACCACCAATTTAATACAAATTCCCTCTCACTTTACCAAATGCCATAACCTTGAGGGATATCTTTCAGATTTAGCGAACCATGGGTCACGTTGTTAATAGTCATTAATGTATATCACCATCGTGTCGTTAGCAACTTAAATATCGATTTTTCACGAAATCTCTGTTTTTGACCGTTTATTTTAGAAACAAAGTATAGCAAGTCGGAAAATATTGGGGTGTCACGATTTACTGTGGTACAGTAAATAAGTATTATATAATTATGGAACTTACCAATAATAGATAGACATAGGTTGATAGTCGGCGTCTCTTAAAAAGTTATATTTTTAGTCATTTCGAGGAATCGGTTACAATGGACGAACCTCCGGCTCAGCTGACCGAGCTTGACCAAATCAAGTTCAAAATGAACGCTGTCACGGACGAGGTAAGTCACGAATGTTTGGGCATTGTCACCTACCAAGCATTTTTTCTTTCACGTGTTTTCTTGTTTTTATCAAGTATATGTAAGCATTCGGCGGAATGTAGAAAGCTCTATTAGTCCGGAAGGGCATTTGGTTGAGGCCTCTGAGGTATTTCCAGTACTGACACCTGATTGGCTGTTTTCGCTATCTGGCTGTTTTGTCTTCAGCCAATTGGCAAAGGGCGCGTAAGGTGCATCAAGTATTTTTCGTACTACCTAGGCAGCAGTCGGTCGTCTATCCTTGTATTGTAAATCTTCGGACATGGATTACTTATGCATGAGATCAAACCAATTAATTGTGTGCTAACAAGCGCTTTTATTTCTCCATCTTCCAACTGATTGTACATACAAAGACCCTTATTTAAAACTAATTACATTGTCAAAAATGGTTGGAAAACGTGGAAAGAGGGGCTCTACCAATGATACCCTCGTACCTTGTGGCCCTGATGAGGTTCGGATGGAAGACGGAACTGTAAGAATTATGACCGAGACGGAATTACTTTCCAGGCGGATTGACGACGCCACGGAAGAGGTTAGGATGTCGTTTTATAAAAAGGAATTTCTTTCACGTTGATTTGTTTTTCTTTGTGACGCTCACATGGTTTTTGGTACCTTTTATTATTTACCTGGAGCATGTTTGAACTCAATGATACTATGTCTTCAGCATGCCTGCGATGAAATTATATGGTGCAATAATTTCCCCCTCTGAATCGCTTTTTGGCGCCAGCTTTTTAGCATTGCCAAGGCTACCTCTCAAAATTGACGTTTCGTTAATCAACGAACGCCCCACCTAACAAGCCAAATTGCAGTAAATTTAACGGCAATTTTAGCCCCAGGTTAGCCATAGTAACTGTTGTTTTGCTACATTGTAACTGACGTCGATTGTGCGTTGCAATCAATTGATCTGCAGGGTACACCCATAAAACGAGAATGCTGCAGTTATTTCCTGCATGAAAGTACCGAGAAAGCTTTTTTTTTTATACAAAATTACGTTTTGAAATTATTTTGCCTTTCAACTCTTTTGCCTTGAAAATGCCTACTTGACATCATTGTGCTCTTGTTGGGTGAATACGGAATTAAGTAGGTGATCAGTTTCAAATGAGGTTTGCCAACGCATTTGGGAACTGAAACACGGGTTACTCTGTCTTATTTGATTATTAAATCGCGAACCCCATTATTTCGAAGCGTCCACACTCAAAAATAGGTGTCGTTTCTTTTAATATGGGCTGGTGTATAAACTTCTCGGCCAATCTGTAAATTGAACAAGGTTTTAATTTTACATTATCAATCCCAAAGTGTTAGAGCCTGACATTAGTTTTATTCTGCAAATTAAGTATCTAATGCATTAGGAATTTCGTTGAAATTTGAGTTAAAGATTTCACAAATTTGAGGTGATTTTATTGACGAATAACGTAATCTAGACTAGAGTGTGTTTTGTTAAAGGGGTTCTCCAATTTTAAATGCAGCAAGTCAATCTTACAAGGTTGGTTGCACTGTGATTTGACTTCTGCCGGTCTTCCCACGTATGTCACCACCGAATTCGGCAAATGTTTAGTGTAACCTTTTTCCAAAATGTGCAGATGATGATCCCTACTTTGTACATTTCGACAGTCTCCGGCTATTTTTGCTTTTCCCTTCTCTCCACTTGTGGTCATACCAGTGGTTTTGACTTAATGCAGTCCCGCTAGCTGAAGTTTATGCGTTGCAAAAATAAAAGTAGGACCAATTTGCTCAAGATATGGCTCTGAAGAAATGACGGAGAGATCTGCTTGAGGTGCACTTTCTCCCGTTTTTTTGATAGATGAGCTCAACCGGATCCCCTCTCTGTGGCGCGTCGGGCGCACCACCGCCACCACCACCTCCACCACTTGATTTTGGCGGTTTGATTGTCACGTGTGCTGGTTTGAGCGTTGATTGGGTCGGTAGAGTTAACTATAACACTGCGGATTCTGCCTTGGCGACATGAGCCAGCCTGGCCTAAACAAAGCAGGCACCTTTGACTGCAACGACAACTTCCATTGAGATAGATGCGAATCATCTGATTTCTACTTGTCCTGCCATTGGTAGCGCCCCTTTAGAGAGCCACATGCTTGTCTAAGTCTCACAGCTTTTAAGAGAAGGCCGTCGATCCGTGCCTGGATCCTCAAAAGTACGCTTTTTTAGAGGCACTTTCGTGCCTTAAGTGATTATTATCTATTCTACTCCAGGGTATAGCGTTGGGCCGACTCACAGTATCATGATGATCTCAAGGCGATAAAAAGTACCACTCTTTTTTTCAGGATGAACGGCAGTAGTTGAGTACCTAAATGATTTGGATCTTAACACCGAGGCTAAATAAAAGTTCATTTCAGATTTAATAGATCACTTTTTTAAAAATTTCCATAAACTGTCTACCTGTTCATCTTGATGCCGATGCGCTCAACACTTTAGGTGTTTACAAGAGAATTTTTATGAATCGTTAAATGAACTATTTGTGGCCTAAATAAACTTCATAGTATGTGGAAGGTCCATTTCACGGAGGGACAAGATTCGACAAATAAGCAAATGAACATGATTTAACGCATCCAATTTTGCTCACATTGCAATTGAACGCTCTTTTTTGATCGTGTGTTTTCTAACTCGAACTCCTTCCTACACCCTTTGAGTGCAGTCGGCCGTTTTTTTGCTTTGTGGGGTGTGTAGGCGGACCGCAATTTAGTCAACCCACGTGAGCCGACAACAAGGTATTTTTTGGCTTTAGCGTGCTGTCGCACGCTTACAATAGCCCTCAAACTCACCTCATGGCTGCAACTAAGATGCGTTTCGCTTAACCTGTCGGGAGTCACCGTACTTGCATCGTTGTCCTCTGGTTTAATGGAAGTGTCCTTTTTTGGGGTTAGTGTTTGATTTGCGTTCACACGTAGCACCTACCATCGTATTTTCAACGTGACCGGAAGTCAAGCGCCCTGAATGTGTTTGAAGACAACCTCGGCTATAATTTACGCTGCTAAAAGGCTTGACTAGAAATTCGGCTCGGGCTGAAACTGATGTCGGAACTGAACAAGTCACAGACTCATTCCCTGTTCAGTGATCTGCATAAGTCTAACTAACACGGAGGTGTGCATCTAAAATTCAACTAAATTAATTCGACTCAATCCCTATTACCGGACAGTCGCAAAATCACCACTTGCTTGTTCTAACTTTCAGAGTAACTAAGCTGTCTGTCTAAGCTACAAACAGACAAGTGAGCGCGAATCGAAGGGACTCTTCACTGCAGTATTGCCTCAACGGAAAGTGCTTCATTCATACGGCTCATGAAAACGCAGAATCCAATCTAGTTTGTCTTAATGAAGCCTAGGAAGCGGGATGAATTCCTGATCAGTTTTCTCCTGTCACGGATAATTCAAACGGCATTGTTCTCACTGAAGTGGTGTGTTAATTGTACGCATTAATGACATGTCGAACTTCAGAATCACTTGTTGGTAATATTTACCAAATCCAGTGTTAAATTATCCATGCTGGGTGTGTTCCATGTTGATTGGGCTGCGATTAAAGGTGGGTGCTCTGATTGCAATTCTCGCGTACCCTTAGCACCCGGAAGGGTTGTTCTCTTTTTACATTGAGGATGTTTCCGGCATCCACCGAAATTTATTGAGGTTGTGAAGTACGGGAAAGGGTGTGCGTGTGCGTGTGTGTGTGAAGTGATTGGGAAATTCAGCGGAGGTTGCATGGGTGTCATTTGACACTACTTATGAGCAGAACACTCATACACGGCTGGCAGAAGCATGGAGTACTCACGTGAAATTCTTCACTTGGATAGAGCTTGCGTGGAGATTTCTCGTCACACAGGGATCACAGAAATCTTTGTGCTTATCACGCGTAGCTGCTCATGCGATCCCAGTGAATTCCCGCGGGGTATTGGCATGCAGAAACCACTCTTTTCTGAAGGCTGGTTTTGATGTCCCCGGACCAAGGAAGTGCTTTGTCGACAACTCAAAACTAGATCCACAATCTTACTAGTTAACACCAACGCCTTTTCTGTGGTTTTATTGAAGATTTTACCTGGATTTGCCGTGGAAACCGATTAGTAATGGAATTTTGACAATCTTGGCGACCATGAGTGGATGTGGAAGCATTGCAAAATTTGACCTTTAAAACCCCGAGTGCTAGGAAAGAGAAGTGCCACAACCAGATGGACAGCCCGCTAGGCATGGTGTGTCGTGCTTCGTTTTTAATTGCGTGGTTTTACAAGGGCGTCCACACAGACGCCTCGTATTTGTGATCATGGAGCCCATGGGATATTCTGGCCGTCCATTCTTGCGTATATGCGCAAATACAAATGGACAATCACTGGTCAGCTTGGCAGCAAAGCGGTGATTTTTATGACCGAGCATTTTCCAGCTATTGAGGGAATTATATACTTTGTTGGAAGTCGCAACGGACGCTATTTCGTACGGTGTCTGGTTGTGTTCTAGTCAAACTTTGGTCCACGCCATTGCACTTTTTGGGCACTTTGGTAGTGTTAATGTGATTTCCAATTTTTACCAAAAGGGTATTTTTTTCAGACATTTTTGTGGTAAGTTGAATAAAAACAAGTGCGTTGGCCTGTTCCGCTTTCAACAGGGTACGACTGCCGACCCATTCTGTGCGCATCTAACTTCTTCCTGCTGAAAGCCTTGATGAACACAGCATGTACACAGTAGAACCTTGTTGTCCCGTAGAATTATTTTTGGCTTTGACCAATTAAAACGCCCACACACCTTCTCAATTTGATGAGCCCACAAGTGTCGATTTAACCCGTGTAGCTCGTTTAATGGAAACCTTAGAGTACCCCTTTCTTCCTTTTCAGATACAGGACTACCACTCATTCTATAATTACACCTTTAATTTTTTAGTCTCTCGATGCAACACGGCGAATGATGGCCATGTGTGAAGAGGTAAGTCCCCTAACTTGCTACACACCAAACACGGCAGTGGGCGTGGGCGGATACTCCTCAATTTATCCCTTTGATAAAACACGGTAGCCGACCAGTGAAATGAACACGGCGATCCTTCCAATTGGTGGTCGCTTTTCAATTAGATTCCCTTCCGAACTTCGGTAATGAGGCTAATAAAACGTGCATGCGTTCACCTTCGCACTTAATTAGCATGCGCCGAATTGCCCACTTGATGAGTTTGACTTCTCCACCAGTGGCAGTGCGCGATGGCTTTTGCTTCCCCCAATTAATTTGCTTTCAGCCTAATTTTCGTTTGTGTCGGCCAGAACACGCGTGGGAGCACAAGGCTGCCGAGCTGCAAAAGACCTTTGAGTTTATTTGGTGCGTGGCGATCGCTGCCTCACACCAGGATCCCGTGATGTTGTCGTTGTCTGAACTGATGTTATCCTATCGATAGTTTTCCAGTTGACACAAATCCGTTTTGGAACACCACAGAGCTGTTATTTCGCGCCCAGCAACTTTCGATTTATCACACACAGGGGCATGTCATTTTTGTAACGAAATAATCCCCTCAGGCGGTGTAAACAGTAAACGTTTGCAACAGCTTCTTTATTAAGACGGAATGACACAAAGAAAAGCGGACGAATCGGAACGTTCGAAAAAAAACATGCATGCTCTCCCAAACAACACGCATCATGACGGTAAACAGCGTGAACATTGAATGTTAAACAGTAAAAGTGTACAAATTATGTGGGGACTCATCGCTTTGTGCACTTTAAACAGCATTCGATCTAGTTACCGTTTTTTCAGCAAGCAAATTGTAAGCAGCAGTCAGTAAGACTCAGATTTAAAACAGCAAATAAATTAAGCCTAACATGTAAATGTTACAATTGGCGTATTCAAATAGTCACAAGAAATATCACTTCAATGGTGACTTGTTCATGCTGTAAGCAAACCTGGCGTGGTAAGCGCGTTCAAATGCCCTTATTAGTCGGCACTGGTTACGTGAGTGAACCATTGAGTTGTTTCCCATTAAATTACTACAAATGCGTCGCAACAATTTTCATCAGCTTTGGAAAACTCAGAACTCTAGGGCTAAAGCCATGACCGTTTGAAAGTTGGGCGCAAGTGTTTCGATTAGGCTTCCATTAGGACACTTCACAAACCACAAATTCTGCATGGCTTTTAGTCAATTTATAGAAGAACGTATGCATTGTTGCTATTTAAAAAGAGTTAAGCTTGTGTCTAAGTCTGCGGGAATGTCTCCATCCTGTCTTCATTTGCCAGCTGCAAGCTATTAGCAATGTGAGAATGATTCTCGGTCTTTATAATGTAGGATTGCATCAATCCGGTGAGTGTGTTTACATGTTCAACTCAAACGTAAAGACCTATGGTTTGTGCTCATTCACTCAAAGCTAGTGTCTGCTAGGAGGTGTTGCCGGCTTGAATTCTGGCTACAATGTGGTGACTGGATCCCCAAACGATCGAGTTTGCTTCCCAGATCTCCAACGTAGGCGGAAATTCATTCAAGGTGACTCTTTTAGGGCGTTTCAAATAGTCGTGGTTCTGAGTCGGCCTTGGTGAAATACGTAAAGATATATATAGTACATTAGCCCAACCTCTCCTTCAAATCAGCCAGTGAATCGAGAGATGGTGTTACTCTACAAAGGTCAGACTGGAATTAGGCCGTGCACGTCAGGAAAGTAAGGATACACATCGACTACCATTCGCTGGTACTAGGAAAAATAGCCAGTTCTGGTGGATTAGATACGATTTCCCAAGAAGGCGTTTTCGTGTAAACGCTAAGGACATTTGAGTTTCAAAAGTCATCCGTGCTGGAGCACAGTTTGCTTTGGTCACAATAAAAGAAAAAGCGAATGCAAATATTCGTGACTGTGCAAAGCGGTTCCCAAGTGTGCGAGTTAGGAGGAAAAAAGATGCTCTCACGGGAAAAATGAGATTCCCGCAGGCAGATTCCTCTGGGCTGTGAAGACGAAGTGTGACATCGGGTGCGCATCCTTCTCCACCACACACCGACGTTGTCTTGTCAAATTGGACTCGAAGGTGGAATCACCGTTAACAAGGACGTCAAAATCTTTGTTGTTGCTGTCCATAAGGATGGTTTGATTGATTTTCATTTTGTTGTTGTTTGTGCCTTCGTCGGCGGTTGTAAATTCCCTAAAAACATATTTGAAGTGTACCCATTTCATCTCGTGTTTTGTACGATTTCCTGCTCAAGTTATGGCAAAATTTCATAAATATACTAAGCAACGGGTTTGTTGTCTGTTCGGGGATTTCGTCTACGGATGCATAAATGCTAATGAAGAGCAGATACAAGACCATCTAGGTTTTTATGGCCGAATAATACTCATGACACATTGCCGCAGGAGAAAGTTAGAGATTTTACGCGCCTGCTGTTGGTACGATCACTTTGTTTAATCCTTTCCTTCACCTCAACTAGGCCAAAGAGGCTGGCATTTCCACATTGGTCATGCTAGACGACCAGGGCGGTAAGAAGTTTTTGTTGTAACGACGTGTGTGTGTTGTACAAATTCCCGGGAATGTTTTTCCTCATGCTTTTGTCTGCGTTGCACTCGAGACCCTATAAGAACCGAATCTCATCCCCCTGTATGTGGGGAATTCACTTCAACAATGTGTCGAAAGTCTGGACGTTCCATCTGTCACACCGGATACTTATTTAGTCATTGTGATCAGTGTTGTTTAGCGCGTTGTCGGGTGTTTGTGCCTCGTCTAGGAATTGCGATTTATTGTGGCCTGACCTCCTTTGCACGTTTGCAGAACAATTGGACCGCATTAACGAGGGCATGGACCAGATCAACGAGGACATGAAGGACGCGGAGAAGAACTTGGACGATTTAAACAAGTGCTGCGGTCTGTGCGTGCTGCCATGGAATAAGTGAGTCGCCTCTTATGTGAGAGAACTTATGAAGAAAACAGTCATTCAGGCCTGAAGGCGAGACCAAGTCTGGTTCTTAGACACAATATGGGGTTTAAGAATGACAACTTTTTAAATATCCTTGTGTTTTTTAAACCTTTGATGTGCGCTCCTTCACATCGTAATTTTGAGAGGATAAATTTTAGAAATAGCGTGAATCGTACCGGTGCGACCGAAAACTGGTTTGTTTGGAAGCACGTGACTCGGCCCCGTCAGTACCGGCGCGCCCTTTCTGGTTAACTTCACCCGACAACCGGATGTGGCCTGGTAGTCGTTTGGGGAAATTATTTGCGCAGGTTAACAGTGAGTGGCTGAGGGGTTTCGAACGATTTTACATGTCAGGATCACTTAGGCGCAAAGCTTAATCATCTTTCGTTAAAAAATGGCAGTCTTCCTTCAACTCCCTCGACGAAGTGTTTGAAGGGAAATCGTAGGAGCCTCACTATATAATCGCAACATACTGGCACGTATGCACCGTTGAAATCCACCTAAGGGTGGTTTATGGAGACATTTTTAGTAAGCTGGGAAAAACAGGGACTAGCATCGCAAATGACTCATGTCTACATTTCCACTTGGAGCACTCTGGTCTCGGCTTCACGAGCGCCATGTCAGTGACCTTCACTGATCCTCAATGACATTTGGATACACTTAGCAATCGAGTATATCTAGGCTTATTTAGTTTTTCGACTGCCGTTGCTTCAATACGCACACATTGAGCCGTAAATGCCACCCAAACATGACTCGGCATTTATCAACTCGTCCACCTGTTCTTTCTGGGCTTTAGCCCACCTATTCTACCCGCAGTTTGTGTTCGCTTATATCTTTTGTGTGTTACATTAAACCTTGCTGCGATCGACCACAAGGCTTGTGCAAACTTGAATTTACTGTACTTGCAAACATGGCGATGCCTTGTAAGTAAACTAACGCTCTACCACATTAGGGTCCTAGCGTCAGCCGTACGGTGGTAGTCTCAGATTTGTGCACTCTAGACTTGCGCAAAATTAAATGGATCTCTTTTCTGACTCATTTTGCTGCCTGCTAAATCTACTCCCTTAGGCCTTAAAAGCCTCTAAGCTAGTAGTAGTTTTTCATTCCGTATGATATGTGTACCGAGGCAACCCCAAGAGAAGGCAGTGACATGTGGAGTTGAAATGGGGGTGTGTTTTCCTGACAGTGCGAATTGTCTTTCAGACGAAAGGGCAAGGGAGACTTTGCCAAACAACTGAAGGACGAGGACGGCTTCAGCGGAGGCGATGGGCCAAGAATCATCGTTGACCAAAACGGCATGGGCCCGACCGGTGGCTACATTACCAGGTAAGCGCTTGACTCATCGTCGTGCTGCAGCAATTAGTCGGCTGTGGGCGTCAATTCCGGGACTGCGACGGTGTGTCAGCGTGTTCACACCTCTCTGGCTGCCAGTCCAGCCTGTCGACTTTGATCTAGCGGCGGACGCTATAGCTGTGTGTTTTGTCAAGTAAATGATGCAACACTCAACGGCGGGTGGTAGCATTAATAGCATCAATTCCTCGGGCTGTTGTTATTGTTGTTGTTTTTGCTATTGGTTTGCTCTCACTAAAATCCCCTGTCACCGAGCCGTCCCATTCGCAAATGCGGATTGGTTCCCAGGCAGAGGTGGCCTTGATTAGGGCCAGTCTACTTGCAGCCTGCCAGGGCTAGTGGTGGAGGAGGGCTCTGCACCCCACTTCTCCCTTTACTGTCGTGAAACGCTCTTTCCGATGTTCTAGTTTGCTACTTCATTCTCCTGCATCATGGGGTGTATAGCTTAGAAATACGAGTTTGACTCTACCGCGACGGCAATACGCCTAGACCTATGCGAAGTGTACACGATAAAAACTCCTTTAAAACAGAGGACTTCGCCGACTTCTGCTGCTCCGTGGCTCTCCGGACTTTTTCACAGAACAGAGGTTACGCGAGGTTATAAAGCAATGTGTCCGCATCTGTTTTGACTCATCTCTCAAACTTCCATCAACGTGTGGGAAAAAGAAACGAGGTATTGCTTTAGCCCAGCTGTGAGTGATGCGCGTGTAGATTATGCTGAGCCCTCCAACAACGTAGGCTGGTTTGTGTTTTGAGGCGCAATGTGGGATCTGTTAGTCATTATCTGCGCAATATCTTGGCGGTGGGGTTGGGATTGAAAGTATAAAAAATCCGCAATCACCGCCCAGAGGCTGGACCATGGAAAGGGGCGGGTAGCGAAGATGAAGCCAATGCATACACACACACGCACTCACTCGTCTAGACCGTAAAACAAAGCAGATATGCCCTACGATCAAAGCGTACCGCCAAACAACCACCCTCTTCCCTCCCTCCCCCTCCCCCCCCCCACGTTGGCAAGCGATGCCTCGTTCAAAAGGGGACCACCACAAACCATCCTTCGAATCGTTTCGGTGGATGGTTTGAGGGCTCTTACCCTATGCCTGCATGTGTGGCCGATTTGCTGCTCCCTCGCCGTGATAATGTCTTACGCTTTGTCACGACCTATTGCGAATTATGAAATTTCGCGTGGTATAGCACCAGTGGCCTCTGCTGCACTGTTTCACGGGAGAAAATTATGCTCCCTGGTCTTGCGTTTGCATCAAAAATGACGCCGCGCCACTTGAAAGTGCCATAATCTGCATTAAACAAGGCATTTCAAGATGTCGGGTCTGCCATCCAATTTACTTTTTGTCTTAAATTCATTTCCGGATCCAGCGGCTAGGGCGTTTGAAAGACCACCTTGCATTTCGGAAATTTATGCCTTGGACTCTTCATTGTAGCGCCGAAAAGCTCGCCGCAGTGGTGGGGGAACGAGAAAGGGATTCCGACCCACCCTCCTTGCAATGAATTGCAGTGTTTGGTCTTTTTCGGGTGCTGTGAGTGTGCGCGGAATCGGTGATTTTCCTTTGTTTGGTCGTACACGAACGTGATTGGTGTGTGCTGCGTGTGCGGAGTGAGAGGGAAGATCAAAAGCAACTTATCGATCGGTTGTGGGTGTGGATGCACAAAACGTTTACGAAACAGTTACATACAGTGGGTGAGGCTCATTCCGAGGCAAATTGCTTTCTCGTTCCCAAGCCGAGTGGCACATTGTTTTACCAAGCAGTCTGACAAGCGAATACCTGTGTGTGATAGCTATCTTTCCTCTTTAATGAATAATTTCTCTCATCCAGCTTGGTTTTGACGCATATAATCTGATTCGGATCATTGTATGACCTGTAGAATTCGCATCCTTCCAGACAAGATAAGTATAGCTTTGTGGCAACTTGATAATCGACATCCTCTATTTCTAAGCATGTCAGTTTGGTACTCTCCCTATTGACTATCACTGGTGTAGACATGTTACCTTAATTACCTTCAAAAATCCATGTGCGGCCCATAAAACGTTTGGGGGTGTGTTGGCTTTAAAGGGGAAAGTGACGATTCCTGTTGGATGCCATTAAGCTCACCAAATTGCTCTTCTGAGTGAGTTGTAAGTGAGGTGACCTCTCCCAGCTCCCCCTTCTCTCGTTCACTCTGTCGGCGACGCGTCTCACACACACACACACTTTACTCTTCCCCTCTGGATGCCATTGAAAAAGCCAAGTAAACCGATCTTCATGAACTGATACTAGGTCTTTTCTCAGTTTACAAACCCAACAGATAAGATTCACGCATTTCTTGAGGGCAAATCCCGCCAAACCTGTGTGTTATCTGGCACAGCAAGTTCTTTATGCTCAAACAAGTCTAGTGATAGTATCCTGGTTCCGTTTTAAAGCAGAGGCCTGATCGCTGAGCAATTGGTTTTGTTCATCCATACCGCGCACTTGCTCTCGCTTCCTCATGATTGCGCTCACGTACTCCACTGGTACTCGTTATTGACTCGAACGGAGAAGTTTTGGTGAAGTTGCTGCCCGATGTATCGTGGCGGTGTGGTTGTGCGTGATGCAGTACGATTTAAAATAGCATTCTTTCTGGCCTCCGGGAGGGGATTCAGTAATTTTATTCTAGGAAATCTAAGCTATACAAGACTCAAGAATCAGGCAGTATTCTCCAGAATAAACAACTAAGACAATCAAGCCTGTGGACATAAGTTCAGCGACTTTGTAACCTATTTCACAGGACTCCGTCCTTTCGAAGACCTCACAAATTGTCTTGAATAAGTCCATGTTGTGCATCCACATAGGATTTTTTATGGCGCTGAGGGTCGGAGATAACCGCACTAGGCGAACTGTTTCGAACATGATGGTGATCCGTCAGTAAGTACTGACCGCACAACCATGGATACATGTCAGTTAAGGAGTCGACATCGTGGCGACTGAGACTTTGGTGTAAAGGTTGGTCCAGTTGAGCCTATGAGCCATTACAGCTGGCGGCCTGATGTCTTTCAATTATCGGAAAAAATACATGCTACGGAGCAATTCGTAGCGATTCCACTGAGTGTGGTCGATGGGGCAAAGTAGGCAGCCTACGCTTCAGCATTATCATGCCTAACTTTTGCCGTGATTTCAAAATGTGCATAAACTATTACTTGCTTGTAGAGGTTGTAAATTTGGTCTCTCAGAAATTACACATTCATAAAACTGTTATTTCATGCTTACCTTTTTGGAAATTGTAAGTTTTCACGCCAAACCTGCCCGCCATCCCATTGCCGAGGCGGCAAGGGCGTAGAGCTATCGACCTTTGCCCCGCGCCACTTTTTTGTCGAATGTAACAAAAACCGCCCTCGAGCTTGCATTGCCTCCCACCTTTTCGGAGTTGACGAATCATATTCTCCCTTCTCCTCAACGACCGTTTGCGCTAACGAAGACGTCACCATTTAAGTCTCAGGAAGGGCTTACCTTTGAGTTAGATGATATTCATAACTCGCCAGAAGGAAATGCATTCAATGAATTTTGAACTGCCCTACGTAAAATCAATAAAAATACGTTACAAACATATCAGTGCTAACTTACTTCCCCCACACAAACGGGCGTACAGCTTCAACTCCAATATCACGCCTCATTATCCAGCGTGTGACTTTAGCGCAGGCGTAGTATAATTGGACAAGTCCTGCAGCAGCACTTGCTCTACCTGTGGGTAAACTAAATGACAGGCCTTCAGTTTACTGCCCTGTTTATTGCCGACTGGACGCCGGTTTAATTGGCTTTTATGGCGTTTCACGTGCTTCATGCTCCTTGATGGCGGCTATTTTGAGTGCCGGTTCCTCAATCCTTTTTTCCCATATTCAACTCCTAAATTACCTTTTAGTTGGATCCCGTCTCATTGCAGTCAAGTCACAGCATTCCACTGTCTGGTGATTCAGTGAGAAGACAAATTTTCTTGAAATTGGCCAGTTGAATTTGTTCAGTCGCATTTGCCGCCCAGACCGCACTCACATCCTCACTGCCATATGTTTCGCCAATGACACGTGGCCTGGAGTTAATGGGGCGCGATGCGTTCCCATGTTGTCCGTATTCTTACACAGGACTTCTTTTTTCGGTGTCATCAGACAACCAGAAGCGTGCTGTCATTTTGTATCCCAAATCTCTACCCTTGGACGTCTCACGAAGTAACCTTTGCATGACAGAGTTGATTCCGTTGCTTCTTTGCTGATGTCGTTTTGCAGTCAGTGTGTCGATAAGACCGCGCCGACGTAAATGACGATGTTAGTGGCCAGAAGCTACAGGCTCGCGAAGACAAATTTAAACAAAACGTCTTTCAAGTTGCCTCTTACGCATCACCAATATTGCCATTACGATATTATCGCATAATTGATCGCCAGCGCTATTGTAACATAGGGCTATTTGTGGCAGCTAGTAGTGATTATCCACGAATCACAAAGTTGACCTATTGCTGATGATTGACGTCCTTTCGAGTATTGTACAGCCCCCAGACAACAGCACTTTGGACAAAAGGGTGTCCGTTGAGGGCATTTCTGTGTAAATTTTCGCTCATATTGGGATCTAGAGTAGCTGCTTAGTCGTAGATTTGGAGTCCTGTTCGTTCTGTTATCATGTCTACTTTGATTCTGTCGAGCAAGCAGCTGGAAAGACGCTACTAGCTTGTGTGTGTTTTTGGCGGTAATCGAAGCCATTGACCAATCAATGCGTCGTCGCCGTGCATTGGAGTGGACATTTGATCAGCATTTCAAAGAAGGACTTATCGCAAACACATTTTGACACTTTCTTACCTAAACCACAACAGCCCATTTCCTTCCTATTGATACTACATCGGTATTGCATGACTAAGCCTCAAAACTGGGCCTTTTGGGTTGTAGGATAACTAACGACGCCCGTGAGGATGAAATGGATCAGAATATGCAGGAAGTCGCAGGCATGATTGGTAATCTGCGCAACATGGCCATCGATATGGGCAGTGAAATCACGCAACAAAACACGCAGGTGGAACGCATCCACCTAAAGGTGAGGTTGCTTGTTTCTTCTCTTTTGCGTGTTCCATCCCCCCACTGCATTGTTGTGTTCAGGCCACCTTGTGCAGCTATTTTAGCCGACTAACCGGGTCCATTTTTCCCGCCTTTTCGTTTACTTGGGCGAATGACTGAGCTTGTCACTTCACTCTGGACTTTCCTTAATTATTTATACCCCGAAAAGTCCAAAAAGTGTCATTTTGCGATGTTTTCAAGTGATCGGGAAATAGCTGATCGGATAACCTGGTGTCCGGGCAGAGCCGCTGTAGCTTCGGGTTCCCTTGACTATTATGAGGTACTTTTGGAAATAAACAATTTCGTACAGTGGCGAAAACAAGCAGAACGGAGCTTGTTGTGTACGCATGAATGCCTCCTGCTTTAGTCGACGCATATATTTTAGCCAAATGTCTTTGTGTAATTAGAAAAACCGATCTCATGGTTAGTCAAGTTGCGTGATTGTCGCACAATTCCGTGGCAATCTAGTTGATATTGGCGTAAAAGCAAGCAACCGACTCGCTTTCTCACATGCTAACTGTCGTCCTGGGGGGGGGGGGAGTTTCCCTTTATTTAGATGTCCGAAATTTTTGATGGGTCACTCGTAGCTTCTGCAACTTGATTGGCCGTCAGGATTGTCGGTTTGAAATGCATTGTAGTAAAATTGCTTCACCAAAGTTCAATTATGTAGCGTTATTGAAGCCAAACACAAATGGGGAAGTTAATTAATGCCAAAACCACCAAACGCTTGGAAGTCTTAACCATGCCCGTCTACTCCGTGACAGTGCGTCTTCCGGGAGTTGGTTATGACAGCCTACAACGTTAACCCTCTGATGAAGTATATACGTGCCTCGCCTAAAATACGAGGTGTAATAAAGGAATTTCCAAGGGCTCAAAATCACCCACCTGGATCTCGTTTTGTTCAGATATGCGACCTTCCGATTGGCTAGTATTGCCTAGTTGTGCACTTTTGTACCACAGCTGCTTCACAGTTTTAAGAATCAGTCAAAGCTGATTTGACTTGCGCCACTGTTTCATTATCTCCGGCCAGCCGTTAGCCCAACTGCGTCATGAATTAATTCTTCTACAATACATTACTGTGTGTGTTTTGGTGTTTTCAGAAGATTGTTATGTGGTGATTTGATCAAGGTCGTATGTAACCAGGGTTCTACGTGTTTGCACAGCCTACACTTCACTAACCCATTTTTATTCTGCGGATTTTCTAAACCGAGAAACCTCGTAACACGCGTCGTTTCACTCGGCAGACAGTCTGTCCGTTGTAATGCCTTCAGTGGTGTGAAGCATTGCTTTAAGCCAACCGCAACAGCGGCAGATGCGAGTTACTAAATTACGCCTCCGTCCGGCTGGTTTTAGGCGAAGGCCAACGCCGACCGCATCAAGAAGGCCAACGAGCAGGCCAGCAAGCTCCTAAAGTGACACCCCCGAATCGGACATTGCAATCGCCGACATCGCCTGCTCTTCCTTACCAGTGCTACTGTGTTCCGCGTCTTCACTAACCTTCGATTTACTGCCACAGTGAATGCCCCCAGACAAACCAACTGCCTCCAGCGGTGTCTTATGTTATGGGTACATCGGCGCTCGTGCGTGTGTATGCGCGAGCGCGCGCGCGCCTCTTATGCATTCCATTTGTTGAGTGCCCCCCCTCCCTACCTTACACCACTCTCCGTCTACCATTGCGTTTACTACTCAGAGCTATGCATCCCTACTGTGCATGGGTGTATACTAGTTAACTACTTATCTATCCTTTAGTAGTAGGCTCAGTTTTCGACCGCTTGTTTCTTCATTACTTGTCATTTGGAAATTTATTTATCACGTCCCCGGATCTATTTTTTTTTCTAACTCAAAAGTACTTTACAAATACTCAAAGGCATGGTTTTACCCTCTTATACGCGAGAACGATGTGCGCGTATTTTGGGAGTTGAAGGGAAAAATCGGGCTGTTGGGTACAACAGATGCACCTCTCAGTGTATAGTAACCCTAATTTCTGCTCCACGGGCCTATATATGTGGTCTTATGGTTAGGTTTACGTAAATATTCGTGGGTTATTTCCTACGCATCATAGTCTGACGACAATAAGTGTCATTGGGCATCTGTCACTGTGATTTTACAGTAAGTTAGTTATTTTGGGCTATGGTCGGTGAATTCCAATGTCGACTGACTTCCAGTTCAAGATAATCGCTCTACACATCTTCCTTGTTTGAAGAAGGCATTTTCTGGCTTACCTGATTGACAGACGGTTGTCTTAGCAGAAGCAAATATGAGTGATTTTGAGGCGCAATTTTCGACGCGTCGGGGGGGTTTGATGCGCAGTATTGGATAATCGTAAGGGATTTGCGGAAACAGTAGAATCTGACCTCGACAGGCTATGTCGAGATCTACTTAATTCAATTCAACTGTCGGTATTCCACTATTGCAGTTTCGCACGACCTGCGTCGATGCCTTTACAACATGGATGTCCACAAGCCTAAGAAATCTACGTTTATTTAGTTCGATTTTACCGACCACTTCTGGTCGAAGGATAGATTTGCCTTTCTTTCCTTATATGGTCATAGGGTTGTCTCCTTCTTTCAACTCTTGCTCCTACTGATCAAGTGACATCACACCACAGCTATGATAAAAGAAATGTAGTTTTCTCTTATACAGCTTTTCAAGTACACGGTTTTGATAGAAACCGTTGGACAGTTAACAAGCTTTATAAAATGCTTTGATCTCAGGCATGTAGCAATCAGGCTTGGTGAGGCATTTGTGCCAGCAGCAGCAGTCTTGTTTTGTAATCAGAAAACTAACCAGTATCCTATCAATTTCGTTGTCTGTGCTAAGCTACTACAATAGTTTCGAGCCTGGAACGTTACGCAATGTGACAGGGCAATGTTTCAAGCAGGTAGTGACCAAGGTAGCTGCATTGCCCCTTTACGAATCGTTCTAGGAAGAATGACGGATGGCAAAAGCAGCATGTTGGTGTGGTGAATATTTCCAAATTGGCAGTGTTTTTCTGCTAAACGTTTGTTTGTACCAGGAGTATACTATTTGTCTTTGAAAATGGACGGTGACAGCAGTCTGTGTATCTAATTTAACAAAGAGTACTAACCTGTAGTGACTAGATGATTTAGCACTACCTTACAACCCTCTAGTTAACAGCCCGTAGCTACCCGAGGATAGGAAAAAGGAGGCGACAGAGAACACGACCGTTTATTAGAGTCGAACCAGCCAAGTGCCTTTGTGTGCGTATGAGCACGCGTGAGTAACAGGCGAATGCTGACAAAGGCCAATAACAAAAGGGGATGAGTCATCGCTACACAAATGCCTTCATGCATGCACACTCGCGCGGGGCGGCTGTCAGTCCACTACAAACATACCAGAATGTGGGGGCTTAGATAAGCAGCAAGATGAGCTAGACTTGAAAGCGCAGCTGGATAAATTACTCAAATGCGGAGTCATGCGGACACCGGAAAAAGTGATATTTAGGCAAGCAGCTTAGTGGGATCTTTTGAGTGTGACAAAAAATGCCCTAATCCCACAACTGTCAAAGTACGCAGTCCTTCTTTATGGAGGTTGTCGGCGTGATTATAATCACAATTTCTCGTTCGTTTATTTTTAGTCGATACAGCCAGTTAGGAAAATTTTGGGGTGGTTTCTTAAACTGAATAATTGTAAATAGATCACCATGAGTGGACAGTAATAAGATTGTCGAGCAGGTTCAAGAACGAATCGAAAGCCTAAGAGTACATTGCTTGAAGAAGATAACACCACAGTCAATGCACACATAGCATCAACTTGGGGCTAACGAAGGTTTTATCAATAAACCTTTTAAACTAATCTGAGACGGGGATTGTGCGGTTACAAAGTCGACTTTGGCAGTTACTCGAATCATTTCCAATTGTGAAAGTACTTGGCACGTATCAGATTCTCTCAGCCTCAAACTCCAGAATGACACATCATTCTTAGCATGGTGTTTGTGTACAGCGTCACTTCTCGGGTTATTAAAATTGACGCTGCTTTAGCATTTGATGACAACACCACCAAGTGTGTGTGTGTGCGGATTTTTAGCTTGGTAGAACACAGTTTGATTAAAATTTGACTCTCATTGCAAGAGGCAGAACAAAGCACACACTGAAAATTCCAGTGTGTCTATGGCTGTGTGTGCTTAAAAGACATGCATACGGTTCGTAGCTTAAAAGTGAGGGTATAGTACATATCAAGTTACCGAATGTAGCGATTCAGCCTGTGGATCGTGCCTGCCTGCGTCATGAGAATCAAATGCACCTCGTACACATTCAATGTTGTCTAAATAGGTCAACCCAAGGATTTAATTAATGGCGTCACTGCTTATCGGATTAACCAAACCAATTAGCGGAGGTTAAGCACAGGACGGATTAACTCCGGAAAAGTGATATTTTTGCCCCAGACATGATCCCAAACTCTAATTTTGGGTTACCTTTCGACCAAACAGAAATTTTGTGTTCAAGTAATGGAATTCTGATGAGTTCCATCAACTAGTTTGCAATAATTATCAAGGTTTGTCTACTATGTCCTTGGACTGATTTAGTGAAGAACAGCTTGAAACAAATGATTCTACATGTTAACATCCATTCAACCCCTAGAACAGTTGCGTGCGTCAGAAGAGCACCATCTCCGTGAACCTAGTTGGCACTGACGCCCTGCAACACAAAATAATGTTGGAAGGTACCTTTGCAACCGATTTGGCCAATATTCCCTTTACAGCAATTTTTTATCGGCACATTGTGAGTTAATCACCGTTTAGACCAACGTCATCTGGAAAACTAGGGTGGAAATTTCACCATTATTGCCCATTTCTCTCAACGGCTCCAGACATTATGATCATTCCATCCTCAAGGTTTGGGGAAAATCTATAACTGTCGAAAAAGCACGCATTTGTGGACCTCAGCCCACTTCCCCAACGACAAATCAGTCAACTCATAAACCTCTCTACTTACGTCAATATTGTTTCCGCTATTGGGTAATTCAGCCACGCTACCCAGTGTGTCGCGCAATAACCGTGGTTTTTTTTCAATGCCAGCAGAGGAAATGACAACGGTGGGAAAATCAAGTGGG